GCCGCTCGCAAGCCCGTCTCCAGCGCCGCCTCCTCCGCCGCCGCCGCCTCTGCCGCCGCCGCCGCCGCCGCCGCTTCCGCCGCCACCGCTGCCTCTGCTGCCGCCTCTGCCGCCGCCGCCGCAGCTGCCGCCGCCGCCGCTGCTTCTCCTTCTGCCGACGTCCCCCGTGGCCGACGCTCACTGCTGCCGCCGCCGCCGCTGCTGCCGCCACTGCCACTACTGCCGCCACTGCCACCACTGCCGCCACTGCCGCCTCCGCCGCCGCCTCCGCCGCCGCCACCGAGCCGCCCCAACGCCTCTCCCGCCCACTCGCCCGCCCACTCCAACAACCGCCGCAGCCCGACTCCCTCGGATGAGCCGGCAGAACGCGCAACCGGCGCCGCCGCCGCCGCAAGCGCGGAAGGCTCCACGGCCGGCGCCGGCGCGGCAGCAGCGGGATTGCATCCCGCGACTCGCGGCTGCCCGAGAGTGGTGGCGGCTAGCGCCGGCGCAGCAACGGCGGCAGCGGCGGAGCTGGACGAGGCCACCTGCGGCACGCCCTGCGAGTCGAGCTCTCTTCCCCACACAACGCGCGCCGGCCTGTCGTGGCGCCTGTACAACTTGCCGAGATTGCCCGAGATTGCCCGAGACTGCCCGAGACCGCCCGAGATTGCGCGAGATTGCTGCCATCGCGCCTGCACAACTCAAGCTCACTGAAGTCGGCACCGGCAACGGACTGCCGCTGCGACCGCTCGGCGACGCGCCCAGCGCCCGTGCCTAGGGAGTGTCTAGGAAGTGTCTAGGAAGTGTCTAGGAAGTGTCGCCCAGCGCCCGTGCCCGCGCCGCCTCCGGCCGCCGCTCGTGCGGCGGCGCGGCGCGGCAGCTCCACGATCAGCAGCGAGCGGAGGCCCTCGGAGCCTCGGAACCTGTCACAATCGCCCATTCCTTCAGTTACTCACTCGTATTCACTAGTAGGCCAGCGGAGCCTCGGAACCTGTCACAGCAATCGACCATTCCTTGAGTCTATATTACTCATTCATAGACACCAGTAGGCCCTCGGAGCTGCGGAACCTGTCACACCAATCGCTCAGTCCTTGGTCACTCATTCACTAGGTAGGCCCTCGGGAGCTGCGGAACCTGTCACACCAATCGCTCAGTCCTTGGCCACTCATTCACTAGTAGAAGGCCAGGCCCTCGGGAGCTGCGGAACCTGTCACACCAATCGCTCAGTCCTTGGCCACTCATTCACTAGGTAGGCCAGGCCCTCGCGAGCTGCGGGAGCCTGTCCCCGGCCCAAGAGCGCAGGCCAGCGACGGTGCGATCAAAGGCGGTCCGGTTGGCGACGCGGTCGAGCCTAATTAATAATTAATTAACTAAGTAATTCCCTTACACAGGCGGTTCGGTTGGCGACGCGGTCGAGCCTCCACGTCTCCCTCTCGACGCCGTCTGGAGGCGAGGCGGCGGCGGCGGACAGCGCGACGTCGATGTGTCCGACGTGCAGCTCGAGGACCTCGCCCTTGAGGCTGGCAGCGCCGCCCTGCAGCGGGCAGCCGCGCGAGAGGAGGACCTAGACACTTCCTAGACACTTCCTAGACACTTCCTAGACACTTCCTAGACTCTTCCTGCAGCCGTGCGAGAGGGCCTCGTCGCCCGGCTGGAAGGAGTGCTTGAGCCCGCTCCGGCGCAGGCTGAGGCGCAGGATCGGCTGCGAGTAGAAGCGGCCCTTGCGCCGGCGTGCGCTCAGACCGGCGAGGCAGAGGCCTTCTTTCTCGAGCTTCTCGACAGGCCACTCGAGCAGCCGCTGGTTCGTCGCCGCCTCTTCGCACTCCCACTCCATGCGGAGCAAGGCCTCCCACTTGGCGTAATAGGCCTGCCGCGCGCCACTGCTGTTCGAGCGTGCGTCGGAGTGCCTGGGCGACGGCGAGAGTGGCAAATCACGCGCCGCTTCCTCTCCAAGACGCACACGCTCCAAGGCCTCTCCGAGGTGCTGTCGCCGCCGTTTGCCGCCACCTGAGGAGGAGCTGCCATCGGCCGAGCGAACTGCTCGTGGTTTCCTGCTGCTGGCCTTCAAGCGTGGCCGAACGCCGCGAGCGAGGCCGCGCGAGTGTCGCAGCATGTACACACACAACACACACACACCTGTTGTACTATACCAAAAGCAGGGCTACACGAGGCCCTCTACGCTGGGGATACCCATCACTGAGCCGACAATGCTACGGGTAGCCCCAGGGTGGCGCCCACCCCCATGCCCTCGGGCACTTGCCTGCGCCCTCGCGCACTAGCCCACGCCCTGCCCCGCAAGATCTCACTCCATCCCGGCCTGCGGCATACCTCGGCACCCCCTTGCACGGAATCTGAGCGTGAGGGAATCTGAGTGTGAGGGAATCTGAGCGTGAGGGAACCTGGGCAGTGCCGCGTAGTGCGGCGTGCGCGGACGTGCGCGGGGCGTGCGCGCACGTGCGCGCACGTGCGCGGGCGTAGTGCCGCGTGCGCGCACGTGCGCGGGCGTGCGCGCGCGTGCGCGGCGTGCGCGGGCGTCGCGCGCGTGTGCGCGGGCGTGCGCGCGTGCGCGGCGTGCGCGGGCGTGCGCGCGCGCGTGTGCGGCGTGCGCGGGCAGGGCGCAGGCAAGTGCCTGAGGGTATGGGGGTGGGCGCCACCCTGGGGCTACCCATAGCATCGTCGGCTCAGTGATGGGTATCCCTTTGCCTCTCTCTGCGGGCCGTACGCCTTGGTCAGCGTCGGAAGCGCGCTTTGGCGCGGATTTGCCCATATCGTTGGGCGCACGGAGGGAAGGAGAGGTGGGCTCCTGCCCGAGAAGGTCGCGGGACCTGCGCAGAGCTCGCTCTGCGTGATGCCGCTCGAGCTTGGGCGTGCACGCAAGGGGTCACGCGCAAGAAGAGCAAACAACTGGAAGTTCACAGCTGAGCTTACCCAGAGAACGCCGTTCTCACCCAATAAACTGGCACAGAAGAGAGCGACGCGACAGAGGAAGAAGTGACAAGGGAGAGGCATGAAGGTTGCAGCGAGAAGCGGCGAGAGACTGCGAAGAGAGATAGGAAGAGGCAGACTCCCTAGGGTGGGCGACGGCTAGCGCACCACACACCTCTCCTTAAAATCCCTGTGTGGTGGCGGCGTGCCGTCGAATTCGTGCCGTCCTCCCATCCCTCGCTTGGGTTGTCTGTTTTCTTTCTTTTTACACTTGGCTTCTCTGTTTTCTTTCTTTCTTTCTTTACAACACTGGGCACGGGACTGGCGCGCACTGGCACTAACACAGGTAAGAAAGAAGTGTGCAAGAAAGAAGAACTTCACCAACATGCCAGGACGATCTACCTCGTCCTCCCATCCCTCCCTTGGGCTGTGCGTTTTCTTTCTTTCTTTCTTTCTACCTCGGAGCACGGAGGGAAGAAACCGGCGCAAGACAGCGGCACGCACCTGGGGTCGAGAGAGGAAGGGGACCACAATCGAGTGATAAAGCTGGAGGGGACCCCGGAGCCTCGGGGCGGATGAGACGCTGTTCCCAGGGGCAGGCGGCGGCGGCGTCGCAGGACGAGGCAGAGGGAGAGCGACGCGACAGAGGAAGAAAGAAGCGACAGGAGGGAGAACGACGAGAGTGGGACGACCGCGAGGTGGCATGCATGAAGGTTGGTTGCAGCGAGAAGCGGCGAGAGACTGCGAAGAGAGATAGGAAGAGGCAGACGCCCAAGGGTGGGCGACGGCTAGCGCACCACACTCCTCTCCTTAAAATCCCTGTGTGTGGTGGCGGCGTGCCGTCCTCCTCCTCCTCCCCCCATCCTGCCTTGTCTTCCTTTGCAAAGAAATGAAGAAAACGCACGCCGCTGAACGCTACCCTAGAGTCGGCGCCGTGGCCGGCGCCTGGCCGGCGCCACGCCAACAGAGTCGGCGCCGTGGGATCGCCATGGCGCTCCGGCGCGGCGTGATGCTGGCCGTCGTCGCTGCGCTTTCTGCGGTGGGGGCCTCGCTCACTCTCCGGACGGACGGCAAGCTGTATGCTTCGGGCGGCATCGGCGACGAGGACGAGTGGGAGGACGAGGACGACGAGCCACGAGTCTTCGGCTCCTTCTCGCTCCAGCCGGCGGCCGATGATAGCCATCCCGCGAGGGGCGCAGGCGATGGCCCACACGAGGGAGGTGCCGCCGTCGAGGTTCCCACCCTCCAGCAGCCCCGTGCTCCCGAGCAGCGCGAGAAGATGGAGGAGGAGCTTCATCGAGAGCGGGAAGCGCAAAAGAGGAGGGAAGAGGAGGGCATCCGCTTGTGGGCGGAAGAGCGCCGGGCGGAAGACGAAAAGGCGCGGGCGAAGGCGCTGGTGGAGGCGAAGGCGCAGGCGGAGGCGGAAGGGAGGAAGCCAGCGACACGAGAGACTGGAGTGGTCCTGTCCGGCGGCG